CTTCTTCCAAACAATCCCAGACCCGCCCCAATACCCTGTTGACCCGCCCCAACACCCCTTAAATCCTAGCCATTTATTCCATCTAATCCAACAGCCCTTATTTCTTCTCCACTTCATATAAAACCCTAATTATAACACTTCCCCCCAAACCCTAATACCCTAGAAATGGCACCCACTCCTCTCCCAACCCTTCTACCGTGCCACCACCCCCCAAACCCACCAAAAAATTTCCCTCTAACCATCACGTGGTCTCTCCTCTCATCCCCTTCCACGTGGCCTTACAAATAACGGATTTCGTTCAAATCGAATCTTCCTCATTCTCCCTCACGCGCTCATCCCATACGAAAATTAATTTGAAGACGAGATTAGGATGAATGGGGGGGGGGGGGCATAAAATTGAGTCTCACTCAATGTACTCCCTCCACTTATCCTTTACTCGTTTCAAGAGATGAATTTTCGGATTTTCTAGAAAGAGAAAGAATTTTTATGACTTGGAGAGGAAGTATAGAAGCTTCTGGAGCTTCTATATATTGGGGGTCATTTTTTTTCAGAGGAGGAGGATTTTTTCTGAGAAATTTGGATAGAGATTTTTTGGGAGAATAATATTTTGGAGAGAAATTTCGGATTAAAAAAGAGAAGTAAGAGCTAAGGTTTACAAAAGAAAGGGTTCTGTTTTTTATTTCTATTTTTTAATTTTTAGTTTAATTTAAATCTCAGAAAAACACACAAAAAAAATTTCTTCTTTCCATTTCCAGTTTCCGTTTTCAAAGAGAGAGTTGGATTGAAGTTTGAGTTTGAGTTCGTGTTTGGATTCAAAATTCCGGTGCCAATTCGGGTTTTCGTCCGAGGTTCATGGTTTCGATTTGGCTCACGGTTTCTGCTCGATAACGTTGCTGTTTTCAGTTAGAATTTTGGAGTAAAATATTGTATCTGCTGATTCCTCTACTGCTATTAAAAGAATTTCGACTAAACAAGTTCATCTTTTCTCCTTTTCTCTGTTATTCGCGATGTTACTTTCGTATTGTTATGATTGAAATATGGTGATGCCCTATTCTCTTGGTTACTGTGATTGTAGTCTCGATTTGTGCTTAAGGACATATATTTGACATTCTGTTCTTGTTGTTGGAAATTCGGTTTGGTTGATTGATATATTTGAACATAAGCAATTGAAAATTTGAATATTTAGATTATAACTTCATTTATGGGTAATCGACTTAGCTTCGGTCTATTGATGCTTTATTTTATCTGCCTTAGCTAGTTTATATTCGATGCTTGCGCCAATTCATATCCCTGTCTCATGTTGAAATGCATTTTTAAGTTCCATATCCTCGAAGCTGTGCATCTGTTGCATTTGTGAGCCGAAGTAATATTCTTGTGGTCAAGTTTGATTAAACATATGCTCTTTCTCATTAAAATTTTCAGAAGTTGGTGAAATGGTCATGTGTGGGGAATCTGTACTCTTCCTTAAGTGTTAAATATTTTTCAATCCAAAGTTATAAGGTGTTTCGCTTTATTTGATCGTGGTTGGATGCTAATTGACTAATATGTGATCATATGTCCTTGGCTCTAAGGGATAAGATTTGTGGGCTTCAAGATCTGGTGTATTAAAAGGTTAGGAAAGTTGGTGTAATTAGAAATCTTCCAATGGCTCCCTAAATGGCTCAGATTCATTTTCGTTTTGTTAGTTCTCTGGCTTCACTAAAGTTTTGTGTCTTTATCTGTGTTTGATGACTATCTGCTTAAGTACTATGTCTCGCTTTGCCGGATTTATGTTCGCCATTGATATTGGACCGTGGGAGTGAGAAATAACCAAAGCCCATTAGTAATTTAATTGCTCACATGTTTAGGAATCGGGCTTGGTCACATGCATGAAAATAAAAGTTTAAAAGGGAATGAGCATGAAATCTCTTTTAGTAAAGTACTCCACAATCAGGGGCCATTTCACACACAATCACCGAATTAGGGATTACACAACTTATAAACACTCGGAGTGTGCTTTAGGCGCATAAAATAAACCATCGTGACTATGGGTACGGTTCCCGTGGCATAGTCATGATACGTAAACCCCAATTCGAGTGTGCGTTTCACGTGATTCGTCCTTACAACTTCAAATAATAATAAAAATTAACATGTTGTAAATCGCGGGTGCGTTTCACGTGGTGCGATTCGCAATGTGTACAAAAACAAACGAGTGCGCGATATCGCGAATTGTTCAAACAAATTCCATAACAAATAAAAGCGGTTTAAAAGGTAAAATTTCACCATAGGTTTAAAATGTATAATAGATTAGATAATTAGGCCAATTATTAATGGTTGAGCGACCGTTCTAAAATTATGGAACTCGAAAATGCCTAACACTTTTTCTCGGGTTAACATAATTCCTTACCCGGTCTTCTAGTTTTCGCAGAATTTAACAGAGTCAGACTTCCTCGATTTGGGATTTAAAATACACCGGTGACTTGGGACACCATAAATTATTCCAAGTGGCGACTCTAAAATAAATAAATAATCTCATTTCGAATTATGTCACTTTAATTGGAAAAATTCCCTATCCCTATCCCTTCGGGAATAAGGAGGTGTGACAGCTCTGGCGATTCTGCTGGGGACCGAACCTAGAATCTCTGGTTCAAGGTTCAGAATTCGAGCATAGAATGACTGTGATACTTGGTTTTTGTTTAATATATGATTTTTATGTGTTTAAGCCTAATGTGCTAAATGCTGCTTTTTACCGCTTTGATATTGTGTGAACTGTATATAAAATATTACGAAAAACCCTTCTTCTCTCTGAGTCTTCTAAATCTTCTAGGGAGCGTGCGCTTCGCGTGACTTCTTTTCTGTTAGAGTCATACCCTAATTTTAAAACGAGGTTCGGACAAGTTGCAAAGGTGATGAAGCTTCTGTATTCCCGGTACGCTGCCCCCCTCGGCTCGAGTTGTCTGCCGGGTAAGCCAGGTCTAGAACAATACACCCAGGTTTTAAACTTTGAATGACATAACCTCATGTCGGATCCCTAGTAGGTACGCTTGTTTGCATCACATGCGTTTGACTTTGGGGACTCAACACAGGGGTTGGGTCCGTTTAGGACAGGTGTACCCAAAAATTAAAAGACCATCTTGATGCATTTTACATGCTCCTTGTGCATTTTTTTGTTTTGGCTTGCATGTTGGCCGACTTCTAGAATAAGGAAAGAAAATCGAGAAAAACCAAGAGTGAGGTAGGAGAGAAAATCACCCGGTCCTGAAAACCCTGGTATTCAAAATATCCTGAAACTCTGCCGAAATTTTGAAAAAAAATGTTGAAAAAAGTCATTTCTAAAGAAGTCATATTTTCCTATTGCGTCAAAACTTGTCGAACTACGGGGGTCTGATTCTCACCGGGTGTGAGATACGTAGGCAAACCTCATCGGTTCCGGTCCCAATTTTCAAAAACCCAAAAATATTTTCCTTTAATTTCTTCTCTAGAAGTCTTTCCTTAGAAAATCCCAAGTAAAAAAGAATTTTTAAAACCAAAAATATTTTCTTCCTTTTTAGAAGTCTTTCATTCGAAAATGAAAATCAAATCAAAATCCAAAATATGTTTTTTTTTCTTCTTTAGAAGCCTTTATTAAAAAATAAATAAATAAAAATTCGAAATTCGAAATTAAAAAAAAAATTCTTTCTTCTTTAGAAGTCTTTCTTTACAAAAATTCTCAAAAAAAAAAAAAATCGAAATCCAAAAATATTTTCTTTCTTCTTTATAAGTCTTTCTTTCGAAAAATAAAATTCAAAATCCAAAAAAAAGAGTTAGTTTATTTACTTTATTCCTGATCTTCCAGAACTACGCTTGGTCTGATTCATATGGAACATGATACGCAGGCAACTTACATTGGGTTCGATCGAATCATTTAAAAAAAAATCACGGGACGTGAGAAATAAGAGGAAAGAGTCACAACCAGAAAAGAGAGAAAATGAGTGAAATAAGGAGCGCTAGAAAGGAAAATAAAGAGGAAAAGGGCAAGGAGAGTAAAATTGAGATGATTCCATATGACCTTGTGACCCTCAAAGTCATTCTAGAACCGTTAATTGATGATAGGTGCATTGCACGTAATGTGATATTATTATCTGATAAATGCCCTAACGCTAACATGTTGGCTTCGTTTTGTTCCTCTTTGTTATCCTTGTTATTATCAACAGGTAGGTGGTTAGTTTGTTGGCAATCTGGCAAGTCATCCATATAACACCAGGTCAAAGCGCAAGACAGTCATGACTAGCAAAGAATCGGACACATGAGTTGTTGACCCATCGAGGGAGGTTGTGGAATCATAATCTGAACTGAAAGAGGAAGTCCAAAGGTTGAAACATCAAATGGCGAAAATGTATCAGGCCTGGATCAAGGGACATCCTCCACCTTCATTCCCTACCAACTATATAGAAAACCCTGCATCTATCCCACCACTATCACAAGCCCAGATTCCTAGTACCATTGATCTTTCCCCTCAACATGCACCAGGCTTTACCCCTTACCACAACTACCCCGGCACTTCGTCCCAAATATTCCATGCTCCACCAACCAAAACAACCTCATACCCTGTTCCGACATCTGCTCCTGTTTTTGTAGCTCCTCCATAAGCCACCCTCCACCGATCTTCTAGTGAACCCGCGTTCCAAGCTACAGATGCCCAATACTATGCTCCAGAACCAACCTTCAAGGTCACGGATCCTTATTCCTACACCCCTCACTTTGAGCCACCTATTGAAATCGAGAAACCATCTAAGAACGTGGAGTAAGATGAGATATTCAGGAAAGTGAAGAGTTTAGAGCAATCTTTGAGGAACATGCAAGGGATATGAATCCAAGTAAGTGTGGCGTACAAGGACTTGTGCTTATTTCCTGACGTCCAATTGCCCTCTGAGTTTAAGATGCCAAAGTTTGATCTATACGACGGACATGGGGATCCCATAGCCCACTTGAGAGGTTATTGTAGTATGATGAGAGGCGCCAGTGGAAATAATGAATTATTGATGGCGTATTTCAGCCAGAGTCTGAGTGGGATGGCTCTGGAATGGTACACCCGCCAAGAAGCTAGCATGTGGTACACTTGGGACGACTTGGCTCAGGCCTTTGCTCGGCACTTTCAGTACAACATAGACATTGTCCCGGATCACCTATCCTTGACCAAGGTAGAGAAGAAGCCCAATGAAAGTTTTAGGGAATACGGTTTTAGATGGAGAGAGCAAGTTGCACGGGTCAACCCTCCGATGGAAGAAGATGAGATGGTCAAGTACTTTCTTCAAGCCTTAGAGCCTACGTACTTTGGCCATTTGATCTCAGCCATAGGTAAGTCCTTCAATGATGTGGTAAAGATGGGAGGAATGGTGGAAGAGAGACTCAAGTCAAGCAAGATCATGAGCTACTCCGCCATAAAAGCAACCACTCAGGCAATTCAAAGTGGCACCGGAAGCTTGTTAGGAAAAAAGAAGAAAGATGATGTCGCTATGGTTGCCTCTGGATCATGGAGTGGCCCAAGGATTTCGCCTCACCAGTACACCCAGCCTTGACCCCAACCTCAAGCCTACACCCAAGCTCCATATAATCCATCCCAACATTATTTCCCACCACAAGACCCTCAATATTCAGTTAGACCACCCCAATACCATGTTCACCACGCACAGTCATATGCTCAACCCCCTCCTTACCCGCAATGGCGTGCTCCAACTCCACAAAATCCTTATCCACCCCCACAATCATACCGAAACCCTACTGGTCCAAGCTTTTGACCAAGGCCAGATTATAGGAGAGAAAGGCAGCAGCGAAAAGAAACCTTCACCCCACTTGGAGAGTCCTATGCCAGTTTGTTTCAAAGGTTGAGGCAATTGGACGTCTTGAGGCCGATTGAGCCAAAAATACCAAATCCCCCTCCAAAAAATCTTGATTATTCCCTCAGATGTGCATATTGTTCTGATGCCCCAGGGCACGACACCGAGAAGTGTTGGCATTTGAAAAGGGCAATCCAAGAGCTTATTGATATAAATGAAATTATGGTCCATAGCCCAGATGCGCCAAACATCAACCAAAATCCTTTGCCAGCCCATGCAGAGACACATATGATTGAAATAGTTCGTAAGGATGGGGAGCCCAAGAATTCTTCCAAGTCCTTCATGATGATCCGTGCTAGCGAAGGTAATTCATTTAAGGCTCCAGATTCTACAAAAGCAATGCCCTTGACAGTTGAAGGGGTGACGGAGAAGCTAAGAACGCTCAACGTGAAACCACCTGTATTGGTTGTGGAAGTGCCTCCGGATGATGTTGGAGCGAGCCAGGAAAAGCCAAAAGTGTTCGTGCCAGGGATCCCAAGCAAGCCTATCATAGTCGTGGAAGGGCTCGTATTACCCCTATTGTTATTAAGCTAGTGACCCAGTTGCCAATGGTCGACACAAAGGCTATCCCGTGGAATTACAAACATGTGATAGTGGCATATAAAGGGAAAGAAGTAGAGGAAGAAGTCAATAAAATCGGAGGACTGACTCGTTCTGGGAGATATTTTACCCCAGAGGAATTGAGGAAAGCCAAGCCATTCAAGGATAGCCAAATCCCAGTAAAGAAGCCGGTCACCGAAGAAGAGGCTGAAGAGTTCCTGAAAAAGATGAAAGTGCAAGACTATTCCATTGTGGAGCTGTTAAGGAAATCACCGGCTCAGATCTCTCTTTTGTCTTTGCTAATACATTCAGATGAACACCGCACAACCCTGATGAAGATTTTGAATGAGGCACATGTTCCTGATAAGATCATGATGAATCACTTGGAAAAAGTTGCTAACAAGATCTTCGAAGCAAACATGATCACTTTCTTAGATGATGAACTTCCTATGGAGGTACAGAACATAACCGAGCTCTTTATCTCATGGTGAAGTGCGAGGATTCAGTTGTCTCAAGGGTACTGGTTGATAACGGCTCTAGTGTCAATATTTTCCCCTGTCCACTTTGCAGAAGTTGAAGATCGGAACTAAAAGAATCCATATGAACAGTGTATGTGTTCAAGGCTTTGATGGAGGAGGGAAAGATTCTGTCGGCGATATAATGCTCGAATTGTCAATAGGGCCAGTTGAGTTCACTATGGAGTTCCAAGTGCTAGATGTGGCTGTCTCCTACAACTTGTTATTGGGCAGGTCTTGGATACATGCTGCTAACGCAGTCCCGTATTCTCTGCATCAAATGGTAAAGTTCGAATGGGACATGCAGGAAATAATTATGCACGGTGATGAGAACCTATCTGCTTACAATGACACAACTGTTCCATTTATTGAAGCTGAAGATGATAAAGGGCCTTGGGTTTACCAAACTTTCGAAACGATGTCTGTTGAGAAGATTCCCGAGGGAGAATGTATTCCAGGTCCGAAGCTACCCTCCGCATCCGTCATGGTAGCAAATAAAATATTGAGGAATGGTTTTGTGCCGGGCAAAGGTCTGGGTTCATCTCTACAGGGTATTGTGCATCTAGTGTGTCCACGTGAAAGTTTCGGTACATTTGGTTTGGGATTCACGTCCATAGGGAAGGATGTGAAAAGGGCTAAAAAATTGAAACGGAAGGTATGGTCACTCCCTAAGCCTATTCCACACATCTCCAAGTCTTTTGTCAAGCCAGGGGCCACAAAGAGTCCAATATCATCAGTCCCGAAACCTATGGTTGACTTTGATGAAGAGCTAATCTAGAGGTTCCAGAGTTTGTTTGATGAGGTTAATATGGTAGAAATTGGGGTAGGCTCCAGTAACGCAGATGTGCAGCTCGTTGGGCCAAATGTGAAGCTTAGCAATTAGGAAGCTACTCCTCTCCCCACCCGGAAGGAGTGTTGGTAGTTTGCTTTATTTTCCTTTCTGTTATCTGGGTTATTCCAAGGTTGTAATCCAGTTTTTCATTTTTTGCTTGTTTCGATGTTCAAACCCTTCTATCCTTTTATTTTCAATGAAATACAAGTTCCTCTTTTCCATTATTCCTGATAGCGTTTCATTTTTGTTTTTCTTTTGTACACTTCTTTTTATGCTGGTTTCAATGACATGCCATGCATGAGGAATTTTCAGCCAAGTCTTAAAAGCCAATCTAATTCTGAAATAATAATCCAAGAAGTAGAGTATGATGCTGAAACAAAATATGATGAAGAAGCGGCATTTGAGGAAATCCGTAAAGAACTAAAACACTTTGAAGAAAAACCAAAGCCTAATTTGAATGAAACTGAAGCAATCAATTTAGGAGATCAAGATAATGTCAGGGAAACCAAGATAAGTGTGCATCTGGAATCGCAAGTCAAGAAAGAAATAATCAAAGCACTATTTGAGTACAAAGACGTCTTTACATAGTCGTATAACGATATGCCGGGCTTGAGCACTGATTTGGTAGTTCATACATTGCCAAATGATCCTGCATTCCCTCATATCAAGCAAAAGTTAAGAAAGTTCAAGACCGACATGAGTGTGAAGATTAAAGAAGAAATCACAAAGCAACTTGGGGAAAGAGTCATTCGGGTCACTCAATATCCCACTTGGTTAGATAATGTTGTGCTAGTACCAAAAAAAGATGGTAAGACCAGGGTATGTGTTGATTATCGCGATCTCAACAAGGCAAGCCCAAAGGATAACTTTCCATTGCTGAACATCCACATTTTGATTGATAATTGTGCCAAGCATGAGATCAGTTTTTTTGTGGATTGCTACGCGGGATATCATCAGATCCCGATGGATGAGGAGGATGCAGAAAAGACAACATTCATCATGCCATGGGGAATGTATTGCTACCGGGTAATGCCATTTGGTTTGAAGAATGCTGGGGCAAATTACATGAGGGCGATGACTACCATATTTCATGACATGATATACAAGGAGATTGAGGTTTATGTAGATGATGTGATCATAAAGTTAAAGAAGTAGTCTGACCATGTCAAGGACTTGAGAAAGTTTTTCCAAAGGCTCCGCAGGTACAAACTCAACCTCAATCCGGCAAAATATGCATTTGGTGTCCCGTCCGGGAAACTGTTGGTATTCATAGTTAGTCGACGCGGTATTGAGTTGGATCCGTTGAAGATCAAAGCCATTCAAGAACTACCCCCGCCAAAGAATAAAATTGAGGTGATGAGTTTGCTCGGAAGGTTAAATTACATCAGCAGGTTTATTGCCCAACTCATGACGACCTGTGAGCCCATATTTAAGTTGTTGAAGAAGAATGTTGCGGTCAAGTGGACTGACGAGTGTCAAGAAGCATTTGATAAGATTAAGAGGTGTCTGTCAAACCGCTGGAGCCTGGGAGACCTTTAATTCTCTATTTGACGGTCCTGGATAATGCTTTTGGTTATGTGTTGGGTCAAAACGACATCACGAGCAAGAAAGGCAAGCCATTTATTATCTCTGCAAGAAGTTCACTCCTTATGAGGTTAAGTATACTCTTCTTGAGAGGACATGTTGCGCCCTGACTTGGGTGGCACAAAATTTGAAGCATTATTTGTCGTCCTACACTACTTACCTTATTTCTTGCATGGATCCTCTAAAGTATATCTTTCAGAAGCCTATGCCCACATGAAGACATGCAAAGTGGCATATTTTACTCACAGAGTTTGACATCATCTATATGACTCGGACCGCGATGAAGACTTATTTTCCTGATGAAGAAGTGATGTATGTTGACGAGGTTGATCATAATGAAAAGACAGGTTGGAAACTCTTCTTTGATGGAGCTGCTAACATGAAAGGTGTCGGAATAAGAGCTGTACTCATTTCTGAAATAGTGCGTCACTACACCGTGACAACCCAGCTTCGATTTTATTGCACCAACAACATGGCCGAGTATGAAGCATGCATTCTGGGTTTGAGGTTAGTTATAGATATGGGAGTCCTGGAAATACTGGTTCTGCGAGATTCGAATTTTTTGGTTCACCAGATTCAGGGAGAATGGGAGACTCAGGATTTAAAGCTCATACCATATCGACAGTGTCTGCACGATCTTTGTCAATGATTCGGTTCAGTAGAATTCAGGCATATTCCCAGGATTCATAATGAGATTGCCGATGCCTTGGCTACTCTGGAGTCAATGTTACACCATCCGAGCAAGACTTACGTCGACTCTCTGCATATCCAAGTCTGTGATCAGCATGCCTATTGCAACGTGGTTGAAGAGGAACTTGATGGTGAACCTTGGTTCCATGATATCAAGGAATACATCAAGTCGGGGGTATATCCGGTACATGCCACCGGTGATCAAAAGAGAACCATTCGACGTCTGGCTAGTGGGTTTTTCTTAAGTGAGGGAATACTGTACGAGAGGACTCCAGACCTAGGACTACTGAGGTTCATAGATGCTAAAGAAGCTTCAACTATCATGACCGAAGTGCACTCTACAGTCTGCGGGCCACATATGAACGTGTATGTGTTGGCAAAGAAGATACTCCGAGCAGGTTATTATTGGCTCACCATGGAACAAGATTGCATCAGCTTTGTTCGCAAGTGTCATCAATGCCAGGTGCACGTTGATTTGATTCATTCTCTGCCATCTAATTTGCACAGAATGTCTGCACCTTGGCCCTTTGTTGCTTGGGGCATGGATGTCATTGGACCAATTGAGATGGCAGCGTCAAACGGGCATAGGTTTATTCTGGTGGCCATTGATTACTTTACCAAGTGGGTCAAAAATGTAACTTTCAAGTCCGTGACCAAGAAGGCGGTGGTAGATTTTGTTCATTCAAATATCATTTGCCGGTTCGGAATTTCCAAGGTAATCATCACAGACAATGCTGCTAACCTCAACAGTCATGTGATGAAAGAGGTATGCCAACAGTTCAAGATTATGCATCGAAACTCAACTCTATATCGTCCTAAGGCAAACAGAGTTGTTGAGGCTACTAACAAGAACGTAAAGAAGATGCTTCGTAAGATGGTGCAAGGTTCCAAGCAATGGTGTTGATACCTAGTTTTGCCCTCATAGGTTTTCAAATAATTTAAATACTTTCAAAATATCATTTTTTGCATCATTTTGTAGTTTACCAAATCTATACAAGTATTTTCTATAATTTTTCATAATTTTTAGAGCTTTAAAATCGATTTTCTTGCATTTAAATTACTGGAATATTTATTAATTATTCCTTAAAATTATTATCTTGATGATCTAATCATCTAAAATTATTATTTACATCCATAATACATGTTTCAAATATATTTTACTTAATTATATTGGTATTCTTAGGCTATTTGCATAATCTTGCAATAATAACCTATATTTTGTATTTTTATTGCATTTGTCATTTTATTCAGGGTCAAAATAATATTTTACATTTTTATAATCTTTTACTATTGTTTTAAAGTATTAATTTGCATAAATAGCATTTTTATATAGTTATTTAACTATTATTATTAAATTATTTCCCTTTTAATCT